GGAGCCCTGCTTTCCTGGAGATGGCTGAACACCTGCCTGCCCATGGGAAGAAGTGAATGAATTCCTTGTTTTGCTTTGCTTGTGTGCGCGGCTTTTGCTTTACCCATTAAGCTGTCTTTATCTCAACCCATGAGTTTTCTCACTTTTCCTCTTCCGATTCTCTCCCCCATCCCACCGGTGGGGGGAGTAAGCGAGCGGCTGGGTGGGGCTTAGTTGCTGGCTGGGGTTGAACCACAACACACAGGAAAAATTTACTGCCTTCAAAGAGACCAACTGAGTTCAGAATTTACACAGCCATAAAGAGACCCATAATTGAGAATTCACACACATGACATAAAACATTACATCAAGTTCAACTTCAGAGTGATCATTTTCACCTACTAGAAGGTTAAAGGAAACTGCTTAAACATCTGCTAAATACCCAAAACCCCTACAGGTGACAGGGCTCACAAAAGTATTTTCCTGCTGCTTAAGAATTCAGCTAGAGAAACATCATTCTTCTACCTTCCGCTGCAGCTTTGATGCCAGCTTTGGATTTATTCCCCAGTGGAAGACCACCTGGTTGCACTTCTGGGGTTTCAAACGTGGCCGGCGTAACATCTGTGACAGAAAAAAAAAGGCTCACATGGTTACTAGAGCACGGAACGGGACACTTGCTGTGACATCTTCCACCATAGTAAGGGTCACGTGCCAAACAAGTCACAGAAGACATATCAAGAGAAGAAGAATTTAATTAAAAAGTAGTGAAAAGACTCCAAAATATTCAATTCTGTCCCAACCACTGAACAAGATTTTGCTCTCGTCTAAGACATTATTTTTCTCCTGCTGGGAAAAATTCACAGGAGAGCCACAGCCCAGTATATTTGTCACCCTATTTACAGCTTTAACCAACAGAAGCAAGCAGCAGCATAACAATCCTAACCTAGGCCAGGGCCAGCACCTACAGTAGGAGAGGAAGGAAAATCACTTGGTGACACACGCCCTGCGCCACAAGAAAGCTAGTTACCTAAACCCCACCATGAGAGCTCAGCCAGGGACTAGGCTTTAGTACAAGAAATATCTGAACTTGAAGTGAAAGCACACACACAACAGGGCACTGGATGCCTGCTAGGTGAACCTCTGATAATCATGAGCTTCCGACACCTTCTGTCCTCAATGTATGAAAATCTTACACATCTGTAGATGCAACAAGAACCCCTAAAACTATAATAAGGATTCAAAACATAACTTAAGAGTTTCTGATAGTATAATATTGCACATTAGAGCATGTAACATCCCCTAGGGAGCAGGAACTTGGCAAAAGATGTCCGTGAGGAATGGTTATTCAATAGCCATTTTTTCCAAAACAATTCCCTCAAGAAGGAATTATTAGACACCATCAAAGAGAAATTCAGCATCAGCCATCAGACACTGGCTACCGCCCAACCCGGTATACTAATTCCCATGCAATGTCAATCTTGATTCTTTAAGATAAGCACTGCCTGCACAAAGTTAGATAAACCAGAGCAGTAATATTAGATATAAATCCCTTATACCCCAGCGAGCAAGTTCTTACAGGGTGCAGGTGTGTCCCTCGATGATTTACCCAAGGAGGAACCAAATTTGATAGCGATTTGTCTCATTTTCTCCAAGTCGCCGTTTTCTTCAGCCTCCAGATATTCCTTCTGCGCTCGCAACTTCTCCACATCAGGAAAGAAGTCTCGCTGAACGATTTTCTCTAAACTCTACAAACAGAGAGACAACTTCAAGGCCGCGCCGGGACACCTCGGAGTGCCGGCCCAGCTCGGGGCCAGCCGCACACAGCGCTCGGGAAGGCCGGGCAGCCCACGGGCGCTTCAAGCCGAGGCTGGGCCGG